TTGCTTAAACTGATACTTCAAAAAGGACCCTGTAATTAGGGTTGCCAAATTTGGCATATGAAAATATAGGGCACCCAGCTAAATGTGAATTTCAGATAAACACTTTCAGTGTAAGTATGTCCCAAATATTACATGGTATATACTTATAAAAAATTGTTATTGTTTATCTGAAATTCAAATTGAACTAGGTATCCTGTATTTTATCTGGCAGTTCTCCTGCCCTCTGATGAATCTTCTGACTTCAGCATTAAGGAGGCCATGATCACTCCTTTTCTTAGCTGAGAGTTCCCTTCCCCGAGACACAAAGCATTCTCTTTTTTCCTTCCCTCCCACCGAATCAAATGACATAATTCAGAATCAACAAGCAATGTTCTCCAGCCACCATGTTCCTGACATGGTCCAGTGCATTTTCACACTTAAAATATTAATGGTTTGCAACTTGTTTGGGGGATACAGCACCTGGAAGTCAGGTGTTTTGGCAGAAGATCCTGAACTTGAGATAATTTTGTCAGCTTCTAGACAATACGATAATATTTGCAGGTGTGTAATGAAACACTGTAATGGAGGAACATATATTCCAAGTAGAACCATTATGTTTTTAAGTCATTCCATTGGTAACTGAAAAACAATTTATTGAGATATGTATTTTTTGTGCTCTCTCTTGTGTTTTCACTTCCCCCATCCCAAGAAGCCAGGCCTTTGTGGTATGAAGTCAAAGCACCAATTTGTTGGTCCCCAGAAGACAACCCTACCTGAAGCTTTGTTGTTTGAGTAGGATCAACTGGATGTTCCAGGAAAGGAAGTGGGTAAAGGAAAGTATTTGCAATTGAGGTGTTGCATTGGTTATTGTGTTGGTGGGTAGGGAGGGGAGATTCAATAAAACTAAAAGGAGAGACCAACTTTGGGGTTTCTATGCATGGAAGGTCCCAAGCCCCTCTCAAGCCGAGTGCCTCCTAAGGACTGTGGCCAGTTTTCTGTAGAGTAGCTGTGAGGGTCCTGTGGGTGGTTTGTGGACACAGGGACTACAAGGGAATTCTTTCAGAACAGAATGTCTAGACCTTGCCAGGCAATCAGTGACAAAGACTCTCTTCTTGACTAAACTTCAGTGAGGCTCCTCTAAGCCAACTATACTTTGACCTTGGGCTTCAGTGTTTGTCTTCAGTGTCAGTGTACCTGCATTGCCCACTTTTAGCAAGAATCCTGATGGGTCATTTAGAAAGAACTGCCACATTTAACACCATTCTTTGCATCTGAGCAAATTCCTCACCCCCATTCTTGGTACCTGATCATCCTGGCCCATCTTCAGCAAGGACTCTGTAAAGCCAATTAGCCAGAATCCGCCCCCACCGATGTCTCCTCTTTCTAAATTTCCATCCACTGACCCTCTCATCCTGCCCCTTAGCCATAAATCCCCACTTCCCATTGTTCCATTCAGCTGTCTCTTGAATACAGTCTTCCTTACCGTCATAATAATTTTTTTTAAAAGATTTTATTTGTTTGACAGAAAGAGAGACAGCGAGAGAGGGAACACAAGCAGGGGGAGTGGGAGAGGGAGAAGCAGGCTTCCTGCCAAGCAGGGAGCCTGATGCGGGGCTTGATCCCAGGACCCTGGGACCATAACCTGAGCCAAAGGCAGATGCTTAATGACTGAGCCACCCAGGCACCCCTACCTTCATAATTATTTTTAACACCAGTATTCAATGGCAGCGGGAAGAGGAGTGTTGGCTATGAGCCCCCACAGTTCAGCCTCCTGGCACCTTCCCTCCCTCCTCCTCCCTCCTCCCTGTCCTGGTACCTTGCAGCACTCAGGATCCACAGAAGTGGGGAAGAATCATGACTAGGACTGCACTTCCCACCAGCCGGGTAGCAGACACCAGAAACAGAATCATTTGGTTCAGAAAATAAAAAAACCCCCTATTATTGTTGCCTCTTCGTATCACAGATAAATGAACATTCCTTCCCAGTCTCTTTTTTTTTGTTCATTCTTGTAGTCTAAGAGGTCTCAAGAATTACAAGTTTAAGGAAAATCTGGAGAAAAACCTCAAGTTGATAAAATTCTATCCATTAGCCTAATTCAACCCCCACCCCCAGGATTATGAAAATAACCACCATCTGAAAAAAATTTTAAATTTAATTAAACAAATTTTAATTCCAGTGTGGTTAACATACAGTGTTATGGGGTTTCAGATATACAATATAGTAGTTCCATCTATACTACTCAGTGCTCATCAAGATAAGTGGATACTCTTAATCTCCTTCCCTTACCATTCAAAAAAATTTTTAACAGATAAATACCATCAAAGGAATGCAGTTAGAAATAGTCTATGTTATCTCATCGTGTAAGACTGAGCACAGGATGCTGACATTTAAAAACCCAACGTCCAGCATAACGTAATGACGTTATTTGTAGACCAGCAAGGATTCAGACGAATGTGATGCAGAGGGAGAAATGAAAAGAAGGGGCAAGCTGTAGAAATTGGACGGAGGATGAATTCAAATGGAAAGCCCCCAGCAAAAATCTGAGACACATGGAGCTTTTGTAGGGTTCCTGTGATCAGCAGGAAGTTGAGATGACTCACTGTGTCCTGTCACCCTCGCTCCGTGTTCCCATTTATCGCCTCCAAGGGTTTTCAAGCCTCGATTTGTGTAGAAAAATTACAGAACTTGTCAGAGAATGTCTGTGGTCTGTTTTTCATATCCGTATTTTTAAAAAACCCACACACACAAAATGGTGTACTTCTCAATATCTAAAGCTGACATAGTCTCCCAGAGTGACCTCGCCCTACAGGGCTGGGTGTCCTGTGGTGGGTGGGTGGGGCTTCTTTATGCCTCCCTGGGGAAGCCTGAGTGAGGTGAGGGGGACTTGGCCTCCAATTCTTGTCATGTGTCCTATTGAAAGGAGCTGTCCTCAGATGAATATTCAAGAGCATCTTGAGTTTCTTTGGCTTTTCTGTCTACCAACCTTGTTAGGTTGAGAGAGCAAGAGAGCTGTCTCAACGTAATATGGGTAACATCAGCAAGAGAAATTATTTTTTGTTTTCTTTTTTTGCTTTTCTCCTAATTGCCATTACTGGGGTCATTCCTTTCCTGGATGGGCCTCTAGTTCACTTTCACCATGAACTATTACGACCTAGAAATTAAAGAGAGATATCCTGGCTCATCATCCATTCCCTTTGGATAGGATGACCTACGGTAATCAATAAAGGAAATGTGGAATGTTAACAAAAGTGTGGTCTTGTTCAAGAGTATTGAATTAAGTGATATGTGTTCAAGGCAGAAAGATGAAATCATTTAGAAATGCGTTTTTAAAAGTCTTTGGTCATTATCACTTGCATTTAGAAAACCAGTTTGAAAAAAAAAATCAATCCAAACTGGATTTTTTTTCCCCCCTTACATCTTTATCAATCCTTAGGTGACAGGCTGCTAGGGAGATAAAAGGAACAGGAAAGGAAGGTATAATCTGTTGGCTAAATTTATAGAAGCGGCCACAAAAAAACCCCATTATTCACCTGGCCTGGCACCTAGGTTTATACATTTTCTCTTTCCCGTCCTTTGCAACATTCATCTATGGGTTGGAAACTTCATGATTACAAGCTCTGGTGAAATCCCACAGGTGAATAAAGACAGAATTTTGTCCGAGTTTAAGGGGCTTTCCTGGGAGATGATGTTTTGTGGCCCAGCACTTCACCCCTTAGTCTATAGATCTGGTTTCTTTTGAAAAACAAACCCTAAGTCTGGAACTTTCCACACTAAGGCTCCACCTCAGTTTCAAGAAGGCCTAGAAGATACAGCTGAGTAAGAGCCATACTCAGTATGAATGGTTAGTGCTGTTCTTTCTCACCGGGAAGGCTGGGGACGGCAGGGACAGAATGACCTTTTGAGACCGTGGTGATGTTTCTCCGCGTCTCAGCATTTTCATCAGAGTCACCGCGGCCCAGCGAGGGGGGTGAGAAGCTTCTGTGGGAACAAGGGCGGTGTCATCGTGGGCATCCAGTCATCTCAGAAGTCTTCATGTAACTTCCCGTGGTCATGTCAGAGGGCGTGGGGGGTACACAGGCATCTTCTCTTTGGATTGTGTGACGGAACAAATCGGCTGTAGAAATTTCCAAGAGTTTGAATTAACATTCCAGAGCACGGGCCCTGAGTACACTTTTCCCACCGTCTATCACACCCTCTGCTGCGTATGAGGACTCGCGAACCTCTGGAATGAGGCAAAAGTGCCACTGTGCGCCTCAGGGATGAGTGCTCAGAAGATGGGCATGTGATGGTCCCCACAGCGTTCTAGGCTTTGCTTCGCGGAAGCCTGAGCCCTTCTCTCCTCCTTTGGTTTTCTAACTTAAGTGTGGTAAGCAGCAGGTGGCCAAGAGAAGGAAAGGCCTGGGGGTTTCAAAGCAAAGGCAGAAGACCAGGTGGCACAAAGAAAGAGCTTCTCCCGCTCAGTTTCCTAGGTGGCGTTAACCGTGAGGCTCCCCGGAGTTTTGCATCAGTGCCTGGTTCAGTCCTAAAATAAGTTGCATCAGACGTGGCAACTTTTGCCTGCTTTGTTTGCTTTCTCTCTTGCGAATGAAGTATTAATAAAGGGCTCCCTGGGGGAGTTTGTGCAACCTATTCCAGGAAACAAATTGAAATGTACAATTCTTGGAATAGTAGAGATGTCATGCCATAGTTACTGGTGGGTATCTACTCTCCTTTCCACAATTTCAGAAGAAAACGAGAAAAACTGTGTGGCTGATATAATTCCCCATTTTTCCTTCATCCATGAGTTCTTTGCTTTATTTTTTTTAATTTATTTTTTATGACTTATCTGAGAGAGAGAGAAAGGGTTGGGGGGACAGAGGGAGAGGGAGAGAGAATCTCAAGCAGACTCTGGGTGGGTGTGGAGCTTGACACGGAGCTCAATCCCACAACCCCGAGATCACGACCTGAGCCCAAACCAAGAGTTGGTCACTCAACCGACTGAGCCACCCAGGCACCCCAACCTCTTTGCTTTAAGACAGCAATGAAGGGGTGCCTGGCTGGCTCAGTCATTGGACCATGTGTCTCTTGATCTCAGGGCTGTGAGTTCAAGCCTTGCATAGGGTGTAGAGCTTACATAAAAACAAACAAACCAGCAATGAAAATCATAGGTAGATACTTAGTGAGCAGATTAAAATCTTTCCAGGAGACACCAAGAAAGTAAGATGATAGCCAGTTGTTTGCCACCAACCAGGGAAAGGGGAGAAACACTGTTATTCTGGTCGCTTCTCTGCTGTCCCTGCCGCTGGCCTGGCCGTGGAGCTGGGATCGAGAGGTAGTTGCCTTCCATGGGTGCCTCAGCTTCAGAACGGAGAGAGGCAGGACCCTCTGTCTGGTCTAGTTTGGGATGGTGGCATTTGTGTAGTTCACCTTTACTGGGTTAAAAGTGTGTGAGACAAAAGTGAAACTCGAAAGTTAGGAAACACCTACATGTAACCAGTTTCCTCTTTGCCTTCATAGTTTTCTCCCAAACACGTGAAATCCCTGTAGGACCTCAGTTAAAGAAAACTTCCTCTGGGCAGCAGGCAATCACTCGCAGAAGAGAGAAAAAAATCCAAGATCCACTGTATTGTATTGATTTGTACCTGGTCTTGTTCTAAAATTGTTATTAGAGGCATGCATGATTAACTGTGCCACAGACTGCCGTTGCTTACTGCAAGTCTGATTTTACTGCAACGTCATTGATGACCCTGGAGTAGCCGAAGATTAATGAAGATGGATCCAAGTGCTTACTACTAAGCAAAGGACCTCCAAGCAAATGATAGTGGACCGGAGAGTTCTCTTCGTCGCTGCAGGAAATACTCTTCAAATACGATGTCAAATGAGCCAAAGCTGTGCTAAACAGAGTAGGTTACTAGTAACTCTCTAAAGGTGCTGGACTTCCTTGCCACGTTATGGATTGATGAACATTGAGGAATCCGAGAGGATGGGAAGAAAAGAAGAATGGGGAGCTGGTGATGTGGCCTGTGCGTTGGAGCTGGACTATATCAAGTTAGGATAGGGCCTTGGTATAAGGGCGATTGGCAATTCCTGGGCTTCACTCACTCATTAGGGGCTCTGCTGGGTGGTGCTTTGAGGATGACCTTAGTCCCAGACCACACCAGAATCTTCTAGTCTTGACGGCCAGTTTTCTAGGTGTCTAAAAACATGACTAGGAAAAAACAAACATGACTACGATGCATGCTTACAGAGGGGAAGCTTAGGCTGGGTGGTGCTTTTTCCCCTACATGGTGACTCAATCTTCCTTTCTCCCAACACTCATTTTCTTTACATAATCTATCCAACCCCTCTCAGAAAAATTGCTTTGGGTTTCAGTAGACGAGCATTTTGGAACTTTCTTGTCCTGTCTTCTGTTTCTCTTTAATCATTTGTGCCTAAAAGACACTATTTTTTTTTTTCTTTTAAAGAGTACAGAGCGAAGAAGAAGTAACTGGCCAAGAAGAAATGTCACTGAAACACGAAGATCCCCAGTTTCTTTTTTTCTCGCTACCACTTCTAAGAATCTTCCCACAGAGCTACAGTAACATAAATCAACAGAGAGCAGGTATGTGTCCTTAGCAGTTTCTGTCATTGGACAACCTCGTGATCATTATATTTCTTTCTCCAGAACACTCGACTCATTTACCAATCTCATTCCTGGTGATGTGTGTGGTGGAAAAAGCAGCCAAGTGTTAGTACTATTGGGGTGATAGGCCAGCTCCCCACTGGCAACATTTATTTACAGTAAAGGGGATGACATTGAACTAACATGAGCAAGGTCCACGGAAGGGTCCCAGGAAGGAGACAGTTGACACATGACAAAAGAGACTCGGGGTCCCATTTTTCACAGGGGTCTCCAAATAGCCAGGGGTGCTGTGCCAAGGGCATCTCTCTCTCTCTCTCTCTCTCTCTCTCTCTCTCACACACACACACACACTGTCACATGTCACCTTTTACTACCTTTACCCTTGCCTTCCCCATGGTAACTTCTGACCATGATTTTTTCCCCCCTGGCACTTGTAGGAAGCAGTTTAGTTTTTGAGAAAACCAGGAAAAGCATCATCACCAGGGCTTCAACTATCCTCTTGTTTTTTCTCCCTTCTCTCTGTTCTTGCCCACAAGCCACGCATCTCAGGTCAGAATCCAGGCTGGTGGATGCATTTTGCAGGAGTTTCTGTGTATCTGGGGGTACAGTTCTTCTTTCATCATTACTCCCTTTCGCTTTCATCCTTATTCACTTTTTCTTTGGTTTGCTTTCATCTACACAGGGGTGTCTCGGCTGCAAGGTGGACTCTGAAGTGAGAGTTGCGTTTTTTCCCTTCTCTTCTTAGACGTGTGGAAGTCCGGACTAATTAGGTCACTGAGGAAGTGATGGGGAGACTCTCCCATGTCGTTCTTCCTGGAGAGGCATCTTTAGATTGTTTCTGGAGACAGAGGAGGCAGCTCTGTCGTGTTTCAAAAGGGTGGTATTTATACACGCGTAACAAAGATAGTGTTTTGCTGACTGTTTCTCATGTAGGAACAGGTGGTCTTGCTGTGTGGGTACTTCCTCAGATCTTTAATGGTTGTTTACACATGGAAGTGTCTTCATTGCAGACAGAGCGACAGTGCTTGTGAAGATGGGGTGGTGTAAGACAACTGAGAGGTCCCGGGATGAAGGTGTGGTTCGTGTGTCTGGAACTTGGGGGATGAGAGGCGAGAGGAGGTGCAGAAATGGTTTTGAGTCAGACTGGGAAGGGCTTAAAGCCATGCAAGGCAGGGTGGGCTTTTTCTTGAGAGCTATAGGGGAACCCCTGAAAGATTTTAAGCAAGGGTCAGATTCTCATTTAGGAAAGATAGTTATGGTGGCTGTGTAAAGCATGGCTGTGAGGGGCACAGGTGGTAGGCAAGGAGTCTAATTAGGAGGCTATTGAAGTAATCCACAGGAGAAATGATGAGGGCATGAACAAATATGTTAGGGGATAATTTGATAGCTATTAAGAAGTAGGATGGGTGGCCCTGATTTCTATCTTGACCCACTAATAGCTGTTCTATGCTTTCTCTTTATGGCTAATGAAATATGAGCCAAATGAAATACCTGGATTGCCTCTTCCCTCTTTCTTTCTTTCTGCCTGGAACTTGGGAACAGCCAGTGTGGAACCATGATGTACTCTTAAGGATGGGAATCTTGTGAAGAGCATGGCAGAGAGGAAAGGCCAGGAGTCTAGGGGGCCAGTGACATGGCTGACCCAGTGCACCAGCCTTGGATGGTTTACCCCTGAACTTCATGCTATATAAGAAAAAAAATAAATAATTTCTTGCTTAAGTAATTGCAATAGCCATCATTTTCATCCAGCAGCCCAGAGCAATTCCTAACTGAGACAAATGATGAACTGGGTAAAGGGGGTGAACAGAAGGATTTGAGGGTGATCTCCAATTTGTTGTTTGAGTGTTGGGGTAGGTGATAGTGCCAGTTGCAAAGATCAGGAATGGAAGGAGAATTTAGGAACCAGTATGCATTTCATTTTGTACATGTTGAGTTTGAGGGACCTCTATGATGGTCAATCCATGTCCAAGAAATAATGGGATGTAGACCTTGGCAGAAAAGCTACCTCTGGAAATCATCACCTTACAGATAACAGTTGAAGTCATGGGAGTGTTTTAGGTCATCTAGGGAGAGCCTAGGAGAAGAGGGCCAACGACAGAACCCAAGAGTCTAGCACTTGGGATTGATGTGCCCCTAAGCAGGATGGGGAAGAAGCATCTAGAAAGTTAGGGTGAGGTCTAGGAGAGAGTGGATTCATGGAAATCAAGAACATTTAGAGGTCAGACTAGTTACTAATGCCATAGTTAGGAAGTACTGAGGAGAAGAGAGGGTTCAGGAGGAAAAATGGTCAGAGGATTCCTTCATTCTACAAAAAGGCTATTCTCAGAATGATCTTTCCATGGAAAGGGATCCACAGGTGCAATTTGTGTCATGACACCACTGCACTTCTCACTCTTTTGGAGTCTTGCAATTCCTTGTTATTTGTTTCACTTTTAAAAAAGCCATTCCCTCCTCCCCCAATTGTTCTATCTCCCCAGGTGTGTCAAATGAGATATTTTATTTAAGATCAAAGTGTACCCAAAGGCGTCAAATATTCATTTTAAGGTCTTTCTTTTTAAAGAGTTTTGGGGGATCCCCTGTAGCACACTGAGGCAAAACATAACTGAGATTGGATATAATGAAATACATCATTAGACCTTCTCTATGAAGGGCTCTGCTATAAGAGGAAAATAAGGTTTTTAAAAGAAGGGTAAACAAGAAAGACATGTCAGAGGGCAAGAACACTTTGGTTTGCCTATGCGCTCGTGGCAGTGATGCCAACAGAACACATTTACTCTCCAAGGTGGGACCCATGCTCCACATAGACTCTCTGGCCTTTGCCGGAGGCTGAGTTGAGCTATAGTGGGCTAGATCTGTCTTTTGTCTCTGAAGTCAATTAGTGTGATGTTTAGTATTGTTTTCCTAAACTTTTAATTTATTGTTTTAAACCAAGAAGTGAAGAGTATGTCTTCTGGGGAATGTCCTCAGATTGCCTCAGCCAGGAGCTCTGAGGACCAGCTCTCTCCCTGGTCCAGGTCTCTCAAGGATGCTCAGAGAACCTATTCTAGCTCTGGGCAGCCTCCAGTTAAGAGTGATTAAAATAATTGTTTTCACTTTTAAAGGACAGTTGAGTGGGAAGCTATAAGGTGAACTCATTGCTTTTAACTCTCTTAGTCAGTGTCCTCCCTAGAGAACAAGTAAGAGTACTCATCTGGACTATTTTAATTAGGAAGAGATCATATTTGATATCCCCAAGAAGACCCCAGATACCACTTCTATAAGGAGTGCCTTGTCACTTAGGAGTTGGAGCTGTTCCTTGGTCCATTAGCCAGCACTGGGAGAATCAGCAGCAACATTAGTGTTAAAGATCACTCTGGACATTTACTGTGAACTTCCTGGGTGTAAAGTTTCTCTTCAAGATGCCACACAATGACGCATTAATATGATACCTGCTCTCAAGTTGCTTGAACCCTCAGAGAAGACATTATAGTTTGAACTCATCAACTTTTAGGCTAAATATCTATAAGCATATGCATAGATAGACACATAACCCATACACTCATAGAGATGACATAAAACTTGGCTTATCTGGTGGCTACTTCTTTAGCCAGATCAGCTATCCAGAAAAAGCTGAGGTCTCCCAGCAGATATATTCAATGTTTAAAAAAAGAGTTATGATTCTACAGTTCATGCATTTTATTTGCACTGTTCCAAATTCATTTCCCCCTATTTCAGATATATTCTAGAAGCTTTTCCAGAACACTGGATTAAAGTTGGGGCGATGGGCAGCTCCAGGCAGTCTATAGACCACCTAAGAGGAGAAATGATTTCCAGGACCTGACATTAAAGCAGTGGTTTTCAAACACATCTGACACACATTATCATCACCTGAGCATCTTTTTTTTTTTTTTTTTTTTAGTAATTTTAAATCCAGGCCACCCCCAAGATGGATTTATACAATCTCCAGAGGTGGGACACAGGCCATCAGTAGTTTTGGAAGTTCTCCTGGTGATTCCAACATGAAGACAAGGTTGGGAGTCACTGCACTGAAGGTGAAGGAAGAACAATGGATGTTTAATTGTGGGTGTTCTGGGGCCATTTTGCATAGGGGCAACTACCCGTCACATTCTATAAGCAGTCTATAACTTCCTTGGGGTGCGTGAAGTTGACACTATGTTCTCAACAGGTAGCAAGGATATATTTTCCTTCCCTGGTCATTGGTAGTCCTGGGAGATGTCCCTCTCTTACAAACACAATACATATTAAAGGTCCCTTTTCTGTCTTTCAAGGTTTGTGTACAAGGATCCTCTGGAAATGGAAAAGTTGGAAACTTGTGTGTCTTCAAGATGGGACATATTATGGTCTTCTCTGCTTGGATGATAGCTTTCGAAGGTGTTCCTTCTCAGGTGGTACAGTGTAGCCTCTGAAGGGTTATCTCCACTTTGTGCCAACGGTGAGGGTGGAGAATGGATACCCCTGCTAGTCAGAGGGTCTTCCATATGGATGCCCCTGCTTCTCCTGGACATCTCTTCCCACTTCCCACATGCCTCCTTTTTCCGTCTTCCTTTCTCTGTGTCTAGAACCTCCTATTGCTATACCCTACTCCCTGAGACTTGCGATTCCTCTCTCCAGAAAGAAGGAGGACTCTCTCTTAATTCATCCCTGGGTCCTACAGATTTCTCAGCCTTGGACATGTTGTGTCCACCCCTCCTCTGCTCTTCCAAGCTTCTGCTGTCACAGCAGAGGATAGGATGAGCTCTGCTCACCTGTATGGGGGCAGGAGGGGCCAGAGAAGTGGGGGAAAATGGCTTGGGATTTCTCTCCTGGTTGACATTGTTCAACAAAGGATGCTTCCTGGAAAACTGGCTACGCCATACTGGGAACTTGTAAGAGAACAAACTATGAACTTTTGTGTTCAATATATTATATCTCTATTATGGTAAACTTCCTAAAACTGGTTGGACAAAAGCCTAGAGAGACACACAAATATGTTAGTGGCGGTTGCTTTTTGGATGGTATGACCATGGGTGACTAATAAAAAATTTTTTTGCAACTTTTCACAAGGAACATATTGTTTTTCTAATTAAAAAAAAGAAATGTTCAAGTTGATGAACCCAAGTCAACACAAATGTCTCAGATGTTGTTCATTCCTCTCTGTTTAAGAAGGTGGGGAAGAGAATAATCTGCTTTAGTAAGATCTATCAAAGAAGGCAGTGGGAGCAATTAAGATGTAAATTTTTCATCCCCTAAAGGAGGCCCAGGCTTGTTTCTTGGCCTATGTAATGAATACTTTCTCTGTGTTTACTCTCCTTTGTTTAAAATCTCCATCGTGTAGCACAGTGTTTGGCACATAACAAGTCAGTGCTCAATAAATATTGGTCCATTCAAAGAAGCAAATAAAATATTGATGCTTAGAGGCAGAGCTCTGGTTATCTAGAAGAGTCTGCTTATTCCCCTAAGTAATTATGACAAATGACATGATTTCTGTAGAAAAAAAATGTTAACATAGACCAAGTCTGCAGGCAAAGGGTAGTAGCTGTGCATCTCAATTGATGCACAGACTCAGAAAATGAACGGGGTAAGACTCAAGCATGACTTTGAAGAAATTAAGAGAAATGAAGAGAAATTTTATAGGAAGAATGGGATGTTCCAGGCACATGGACTAGCTTGTGCCAAGATCTGATGGCTAGAGAAAGGTGAGCATAGAGAGTTGGCCAAGTTGTTGACCAGAGCAGATGGTGTGGTCATGAAGGATCCTGGCAGGGATCGCTATTAGACAGAGTGGGCTACATTGGTGAGAAATCCATAAAGAAGGAAAAGAAGGATATTAGATTTCCTTAAACCCATGAAGGAGGATATTAGATTTCCTTTTGATGTTTGTAAATGCAGAGCTTTTGCAAGATTTTGTTGGGAAGGTGTTCCTAAGGCCCCGCTCTACTCTTGTCCTCCATTCTATGGCAAACAAGGAGAAGCTTCTTCCAGAGAGGAATGCAGGGGGAAGCTGAGCCATTGTCCTCATCCTTCTTTGTCTCACCCAGTTAGCTTTCCAGGTAGCCCTGGAAGATGAATGCCATTAGGACAGATGTGGATGAGAAAACTGTCCCCTCCAAAGAGGCAGTGTGGCCTTGAACATCTAGGAGGAGGAAATATTTGATCCTCCATGATTCATTGAAGAGTTCCTCCCTCCTTATCTCCCAGACCTCCTCACTCTCCCATGGAACTGTCCTCATTGACCTCTTCTCTGTTCCAGATACCCATTGCCTGTTTGCTCCCCTGTACCATCCTGTTTCTCTCGCATGCCTCATTGCTTGTGCAGCTGACCACTCTTAAAGGACTCCCAAAGCTTCCCTTACAGCCCTTATACTGATAGCTACCATGTCTGTCTGTGCCCCGACTTCTCTCCTGAGCTTGGACTTTCATTTCTTGGCACCTGCTGGACACATCCTACTAGGTATCTTTCAGGCAACTCTAACACAGCATGATCCAAAACAAAACTCAATTTCTTCTCCCCCCCAACCTGCTCCTCTTTTGTTCCCAGTATCAGTTCCTGCGTCACCATTCAAACAGAATGCCTGTTTGCCCTGGATTCCCTCCCACTCACCTCCCATGCCTAGTTAATCACACATCTTGCTCATTCTACTGAGGGAATGTCTGCTGAATCTCTTTACTTTTCTTGTTCACCCTTGTGCTAATCTTGACCCTTAACCTCTTTGTTCTGCACCAGTTTGTTAACTCTTAACTGGTCCTTCCACCTTAGGTCTCTCTCTCTCTTTCTACTCTATCTTCCTCATTTGCTGTCAGAGTGATCGTCCTGAAACAAATTGGGTCATGTCAATTTTGCTTAAAAAGCACGAAGTGCTCCCCCTTGTCTGAGGATCAAGCACAAGCTCCCGAGTGTGGCTTACAGAGGCTTCCCAGCCCAGCCCTGGTGCTTCCCCAGACGTGTCTTATACCCCCTGTGCCCTGCCTTCCCCTCTGCACAGGTCCCCATCCACACAGAAATACTCTCTGTGCCGCAAACACAACTTGATTCCGTTCTCTCCTTTTGCAACTGCAACTTTTTCTGATCTGGCATTCCCTCACGCCTGACCCCCAAACCCCTGATGCCTACTCATCCTTCCTAGCACAGCTCAGGGCACCTCAGCAAAGCCTTGTCCATTCCTTTGTCCATGCTTCGGTTAGAGTTTGTATAAGCTGACTTATTTATGTGGCTATCTCTCTTGTACAACGTCAGTCCTACAGAAGGCAAGATCTGAGTATTTGTCATCTCAGTCCCAGAGCCTCACACAGAGCCTGGTACTGGGTAAATCCTCAATCAGTATTTTATGAATGAAGCAGTGAATACATTCTGCACTCTTTTCACACTTTTAATTCCCTCCCACCCCCCAAAAGATCCCATTTTCTTTAGAACTATTCTTATCCCTTCTCCATACATTTGCATGGAGGGGTGAGAATTTCCTTGCCTCTGAGGGGTGTGTGTGTGGGGGGAGATATACGGGAGCGACACTCCTGTGGCTACATGTAGTGTGTGTAGCTGGTCTGCTTGATCAGCCCTTGTGGCTCTGCCCTTCTGCAGGCTCTTGGTGGGCTTGGCTGTCCTCGGGAAACCCACTTGCCTCTGAGGCCCTATAATAAGTGGGCCATGACTGCACAGAAGACTGACCTTTGCTGAGAAGGCCTGCCTGTGACCATGTGTATGGATTTAATTATGGCTTTTTTGTTTGTTTTTTGGTTCAAGGCAGATATTAGAAAACCCACCTGTTTCTGGGTCTAAGCTTTAGACTCCAATCGGCTTTATCAGACATAAAGCAGATATTTTCATCCCCATCTGTCTGATTCCCGTGACTGTCTCTTGATTGGTCCCAACTTAGAGCTGGGTGGGGAGGGGGTTGGGGAGAGAATTGGGACAGGAATATTATTTATTTGCTCCTCCGAAAACCCCAATAATTATCCTATTATTCTACCATGAAGAAATCAGGAGTTATTCAAATCCCAGCCATCTGGAGGAATCTTAAGCCACATAACGATTTTGGAGAGAGATTCTACTTCACACGGCGAAGAAGGGGTGACTGGGATAGAACCTTGCATGTGGGAAATGCCTTATACTATTTAAATGAATGAATGAAAAGGTTTGTGGGCATCAAGTTACAGTTTAAACTCAAGTAACCTGAGGCAAGAGAAGAAATGGATTTTCCGTTTTCATCTATCAGATGGGCAAAGACCAGAAAGTTTAATAACCCACTATATTGGAGAGGGTGAAGGAGAATAAACAATCTCATACGTTGCTGGTAGGCATGTACTTTGTTAAAAATAATCTGTGGAAGGGGAACCTGGGTGGCTCAGTTGGTTAAGCATCCCACTCTTGATTTCGGCTCAGGTCGTGATGTCAGGGTTGAGCCTCCCGAGGTTGAGCCTCTGCTGAGCAGAGTCTGCTTGTCCCTCTTCCTCTCCTTTTGCTTCTCTCCCTGCTTGAGCCTGTGTTCAATCTCTCTCTCTCTCTCTCTCTCTCTCTCTCAAAAAAAAAAAAAATCTATGGAAGGCAGTTTAGGAGTATCTATTAAAAATACATGGGCACATGGCCTTTGACCCAGCAATTCTGTTTCTAGAAATTTGTACTTTGGATCTACAAACATGCACAATGACCAAGTAGTCATTGTCCCATCATTTACAAGAGCACACATTTAGAAATTTTCTGATTGTCCAACAGAAATGAGGGTGCATCCTAATGGGTTATTTTTAGCTGTAAGGAACGATGAGGACACTCCTTGTATACCAATATGGAATGGTTTCCAAGACTGTTTCCAGTATTGACAAATGGAAACAATCAAAATGCACAACATCGATATGTTATGCTATCATTCAGAAAAAGAGAGAGAGACAGAATGTATTTGCTTGTAGTGCTTTTATCTAGAAATATACAATAGAAGCTGATAACATTGTTTGCCTCTGGGAAGGGGAACCAGATGGCTGGGGGAACAAGGTTAGGAGGGAGACCTTGCTCTATACCATTTATACCTTTTGAATTTAAAACATTGTGAATATTTGATATTTAAATTATTTAAATTAAAAGGCACATGTGTGCTCGTGTGCACGTGCACGCACACACACACACACACACACACTTTGGTTTCTGTTTTAATTGAAAGGAAATATTTTCAGGTATTGGGAAGAAACCAGGCATTAGTTTAGACAACAATCTCAGGAGGACAACTGAGGAAGAACGAATTAATGCAAGCTTAAATGGATAATTATATAGCACGGTGGACAGTATACCGGCTCCAAGGTCAAACTACTTAGATTTGAATTCAGGTTCTGGAGCTTTCTGTGTGACTGTGAGCAAGTTACCTCTTTGAGCTTCAGTTTTCCCTTCAAAGAATGGATAATAATAGTATCCACCTCACAGGACTGCTGAGAAAATGTGTGTATAACCCGTATAAAGGTAGGTTCCCTTGTGGTCCTGTCTTCACTTCGAATCCCACTCAAAGAGAAAAACAAGTTAACAGAGAAGCTTAATCAAAAGCAATTCAAGTGTTTACTGTAGTTTCTTAAGAAAATTCCAAGAGGGTAATGTATGCATAAGAAATAGGTACACTTAAAAAAAAAATTCTCTGCCTTCAATTTGTCCACCCCTCCCTTTCAACACAGAGTAGCTGTACTTGAAAATCTCTCCTATTCCACTCTCAACTGCCAAGTAAAACTTCTCATACTCACGCTGCTGTGTTTTCTTGGAGCTATTCTTTTTTTACTGCCAGGAGTTCTCTTCATTTCAAATATAAATTCTCTTGCCTCTCAGGCTTACAGTATTTCCCCACAATCTGTGGATTAAGGCCCATGAGCCGATGATATGGGGAAGTGCCAAGGAAACCAAATCAGAGTTTTACTAGTGGAAGTGGGGGTGGATAGACCTAGAAAGGGATGGAAAACAGGCTTTAAAAATATTCTTATATTAATAATTTTTAGCCCCCATTACACATGTAGGGAATTTATAACATTGCCTGGCATATTATAAGCACTCAATAAATTTTGGCTATTAATATTATTCATAAGAACCACTTTTCCACAACCTGATAATACTTGCATTAACATTTATGGAGAGTCTGCTATGTGTCAAGG